GACAGCCCCCACAGACACTGTACTAAGTACATGGGCCCAAATAAGGAACTGGGTTTTGGTCTGGGATTACAGCAGGAAATCCTTTTTGGGCCACCCCACACCACATCTGTGTCACCGGGTAGTCTCCCAGACACCCTTGACCAGAGTCTTGCCCGGTCCAAAGTGCGGTTTGTGCGTGCCAGGCTGCCAACTGACAGCACTTCTCATGCCTACTGTACTAAGTATATGGGTTCAAATAAGGAACTCGCTCTTTGTTTTTTATTACAGCTCCCCAGCTTTGAAATACACATGTATGAAAATATTTTACTGTTGCAGCTACATCCTTAATGTAAGTCCCTGCCTCACAGCACCAACTTAAGCAAGAATTATCAACAGGTACTTGGTAGATATTACTTCCTTCTAAAGACATAGGTTCTTCAACTCGTCTTTAGTGTAACTGCTCAAATAGAGATGTCACAATGCATCACAGGTCAATTTTGCATAAAGTACTATTATCAGGTTTTCTAGCAAATACTTTACCTATTTTAATATTTCTGAGTCAAAGGGAACAAGTGCAATGGAAGACAGAAATTCAGTAAACATCAGTTCATTAATGAAAAACCATGCATATGACTCATAACACTTTCAGTGAATCTGGCTCTCAGAAGAATTGAAAAATTTGATCCTTGGCTCTTTCCACCAGATATGTTTATATGTGACATTAAGTAAGTTGGTAGTGTAAGATTATGCTGTAGCTGTGCTGACATTAAGTAAATAGCTATATGCATACCTATATATAAAATTACCAAACCATACATTCTCAATGCCATTCTCTGGCTTTTCAGAGATGGTAGTATTCTGTTCCCTTGCTCCCAAAATCCCTTTCTTGTATTTTGTATTTATGTCTTCTGGAGATAAGTAGATGGTTTGTTGTTAGTTAAAATATGTCACCAGTCCCGATTAGTTCAACAGAAAACATGAGACATGCAAATTCATCAATCAGAGCTCACCAAAACAAAGATTTTTGTCATTGCGGGTATAAAATAGTTGGGCTAATGGTACAATATTAGTGAGCATTTTGTATGTTTCCACAAATTTGGTGTTACTGAGAGCTGGTGTTACTAGGATGAGCTTTTAGAATGCAAAAGGTAGGATGTGGAGATACATTAGCAACTAAAGAGATCCCCAAAGCTCTTAGGAAGGAAAGTACACCAAGCCATGTTGTTGCACCAGCATTGATTTATTTGTTTTAAGCTAATTTGCATTGTTTTTTTTTAATAATATTTAGTTTTAATTAAGTTGATTATAAATCAATAATGCTTAGCATGAGTATAGCAGTCATTTTATGTTTTAATACAGTGATTTTAAGTTGCTATTATAAATTAAGTTTGTTATTGTGTCTTTATATATATATTTGGATGTATGGATGAATGAATGAAGAGTTAATGGTACAAGCTATATGTCAGCAAACAAGTTACCAAATGGTGAATCGTGCTGAAAAGGCTGAAGAATCCAGTCTGTACCAGGCAAAGAATAAAGGTAAACAGAAAAGATAAGATTGAAGACAAGGTCTGCAACATCTCAAAGCTAGAGACCCTGGACACAGCAGCAATAATGGAAGGTTACTGTAAAACAGAGTTATTGAAGAGTAACACATAAAGACAATGATGCATGGGCCTAACTGCTTGTCAGGATGGAAAAGTACTGAGATTTCAAACAAAGGAACCACAGAATCAGAAAAGGCGGACCAGTCACCCAACACCAACTTGAAAACCCTTATAAAGGAGAGAGATTTAGCAGCAAGAGGTGGGGTAACACTTTGTGAACTTCACTGGAACACAGACGCGTCTGTATCCCCCATTTCTGATCTCATACTAACTAGGTTGGCCATCTAGTGTATAGTCTTTGAGCAACAAACTTTGGTAACTATAACATCTGCCTAGTAATTGGGAGTGAGTACGTGTGTGTGTGTGTATGAGCGCTCTTTTGAATATTATAATCAATAGTTTTGCCTTATCCCCCTCATAAGGTCTTGCTCGTCATTTGAGTTAATTGGTAATTCATGTAACAATGTTCTTGCTGTGTGAATGTGTTAGAAACAATAAGAACATCTGCAAGGATACACACAGATACTTAAATACAAAGCCTCACTCTCCTGGAATTAAGAGCACTGGACTGGTGCTAATGCATGTCAGGTTGGGTTCACCTACTACCATTACCTATGGTAGATGGTACTACCTGTGACTGTTAATGTTGAGTGCTGGCAAGTGATTAAATAACCTGGCAACCTCTAGGCTGCCAATGGCCTTCTGCAGACGAGAACCTTAGGGTGGGGTATTAGTCTTACCCCAGCGGAGGAAATGCCACCAAAACGTTGTGGCACCAAAGTCCACTCCATGGTAGGGTAGATTGGGCTCTTTAACCCAGATCAGGGTGGCAATAGTTTTGATGGAAAAACACAGGTGTAGGCAAAAGGAAAAGATTCCAGACAGAAGTCACTCCCTGGATCTTTTCAATGAACTCTTCAGAATAAAAGTGCTTCTGAATACAGTGCTTTATAGTAGGTCTACATCAGTGGTCTCCAAACTTTTTCAGTAGGAGATACATTTTGGAATTTAAAAGCAAACAAAGATCTACACCCCCCCCCAGCAGGTAAGGCAATAAGGAGGGAAGGGGGGGTGCAGATCAAGGCAGAGGGAAAAAAAATATTTGGGCACATGCGTCCCCAGCAGGTAAGTCTGTGGGGAAAGGAGTGGGGGGAGTGGCAGATCAAGGTCCCAGCCCTAGCACCACTCCCTCTCTCACTGCTGGGGCCTCGATCTGCCCACCCCCCAATGGCAGTGAGGGAGAGAGTCGGGCTAGAGCAGGGGCAGGCCCTACAGCCAAGGTGGGGCAGGACAGAACCATGAGTGGCTTGTGTGGGGGCGTGGGGAGGGAGGGCATGCACCCTGGGAGGGGGCATGCACCTCCAGATCTGCGTGCAGGGTGGGGTGGGGTGGGCTGCAGCTGCAAGCTCTCCAGCATTATGTCATAGTAAGTCTTGTGTGGCCCTCATTACCCAACTGTTGCTACTTTGACTGTCGTAGGTGGTAGAAGCCCAGGAGAAGTGCAGCAACCCTTACAAAGAGGAGGACATGGACCAATGGCATAAAGCTGCAGCAAAGTAAATTTAGATTGGATAGCTAGAAAAACTTCTTCCCTATAAGACTAGTGAGGCAGTGGAATCAATGCCCAGGGAAGTTGTGGATTTTCCATTGCTGGAGGTGTCAAGAAGAGGTTGGACAGCTACTGGTCAGGGATGATTTAGGCATAGCTATATCTACATGTGTTGGGGTGTTTTTAAGCCTTTTTCCGAGGTAATGAGTGCTACTACAGCTAAGGCTGGGGACTTGAACTGGGGTATGCCAATTCTCCTGCTAGGAGCAAAGCCAGAGTCCTGACTGGAGGGTCTTGCTCTTTACTTAGGGTCAGACCGATCACCATATTTGGGGTCAGGAGGGACTTTTACCCCTGGCAGCAGAAAGCAACAGAGCCTCTGGGGTGGTCCTCCCTACCCAGAAAGTACTACTAAACTGGTGCATGTGGTAGAGTCCCTGGATGGCAGCCTGGGTGAGACTCCCATCTCAAGTGACTGGGCTAGGAGGGAGCTCCCCAGGTTGGATTGCCACTGACTGTGACTGTGATCAGTTCTGAGCTACAGTTAAAGGTTAATAGTTAAGGTTTTTATTAGTGAGTACCACTGTTCCCCTTTTCTCCCTTGAGCTTTAGTTAAAGCACCACTGCTGCCATTTTGAAACGTGGGGGCAGTGTATACACATAACACGGAGGCTGCTGGAGCTCACTAATTAATACGCTAACTAGCACGCTTCAGCAGATTGGAAGCAGACTGAATTGATCGAATCTTCTCTGACATGTGCTAAATACCATGCATTGGAGCAGAGTTCCACCACATGTATAGATGCCCTGTATTTTCATGCAGCCATTCTTCCTGCAATCCAGCACCTGGTGGAATAGCAACATAGAGATCTTAAAAGTTAGTTGTCAATTGGCAGGCTCACACTCAAAAACCAAGCATTGCGTAGAACAGGGACATGCCCAGATTTCTTCACGAGGCTCCCTTGGTAGTGGGAACATATTTTGGGATGATGCCAAGAGGATTTTGCCCCATGATCCCAGCAAAAGAGCAGCTCCTGATTGATAGCAATGTAAACAGTACGTGGGGATTGACCAGGCAAGACTCTGGTCACAGATGTCCAGGAGAGTTCCCCAGTGCCATAGAGGCACAGTGTGGGGTGGCTGAAGAAAGATTTTCAGCCATAATCCCAGCCCAACTACCAGTTCCTTATTCGAGCCATTATACTTAGTACAGTGGCCAGGGTGCTGTCAGTTGGCACCCTGGCAAGGCCAAACCACGTTTTTGGCCAGCCAAGTCTCTTGTCAGGGATGTCCAGGAGAGCCCCCCGGTGGCAGAGGTATGCCATGGGATAGCTCAAGAACGATTTCTAGATATAATCCCAGCCCAGAAACCAGTTCCTAATTCAAACCCATATACATAGTACAGTGGCTGGGGGGCTGTCAATTGGCAGCCTGGCATGGCCAAGCCACATTTTGGGTTGGGCAAGACTTTGGTCAGAGATGTCCAGGAGAGTCCCGTGGTGCTACAGAGTCATTGTGTGGGGTGGTCCAAGAAGCATTTCTAGTTCCAATCGCAGCCCAAAAAACAGTTCCTGATTCAATCCCATATATTTAGTACAGTGGCTGCGGGGCAGAGGGGATGTTAGTTGGCAGCCTGGCATGGCCAAACTGTGTTTTGGGCCAGGCAAGTCTCTGGTCAGAGATGTCCTAGAGAGACCCTGTAATAGGGAACCCTAGCCCTGTTACCAGGAAGCAGGGCAGCCTCTTTATATCCAGGACTTTCTGGGTGCAGTCATCCAGTCAAGCAGGGGTTAAGGATTGAGCCTTCCTGGCTGGTCAGGTTACGGGAAGGGAAAGGCCAGAACTATACAAACCTCAGGCAGAGAAGGGGACTCCTGATGACTAGAGAGAAGCTGCAGCATCCTCCTTGGGAAGAATGTGACAAGCTGGGGGACAGAAGCCCAATCACATGTAAGCAGGCAGTTTGCCTCTCCTACCTTTATTTTCCTTATATGGCCACTGGGGCCTATTGTTTACATGTAATGTTAAGGCTGGTAGTTTGTGGATGAGGCTTTAGGGGAGGAGGAGACCTCATTAGTGCTAGAGTGCCATGGCAGAGGGCTCAAGAAGCCCTGTGCACTAGGGGGTGCAGCACTAGTGCCAAGAGTCCAGAGCCACTTGAAGGGAAGCTAGGAGCCTTGAAGCTGGGTCCTGGTGGGTGGGCTTAGGTGAACAGCCCTAGCTACAGAAAAAGGGGCAAGCCAGAGGGGGCTGAGGCCCTGACAGCTTGGAGCCACAGGAGTGCAGTGTAGAAGGGCCAGTAGGCCTGGTGTCACAGAAAGTATAAAATGGAGGGCCATGAACCCAAATGTGTTAAAGAGCTAGAGCCTCAGAGTCAAGCCCTGCTTAGTGGGTTTTGACTGACAGGCCTATCTAGAGAGAGGGGGGATAAGCCCACAGTGGCTGAGACCCCAACATAAAGAGGAAATTATAAAACACATCCTTGAGGCATGGGGCACATCAAGGGAAGGTCAGAGTGTGCATTTTGCCCTTAAGGCAAAAGGTCATCTTCTAGGTGGTGAGCCTTAGAGCCCATCTGGGAACCTTTGGGTCAGCCTCCCTCTTTAAAAACCAAGTGACATCAAGTTGTGGCAGGAAAGCAAAAGTGGGGAAGCTCCTCCCCAGAAGAGGAGGACAGAATATAGCAGGACTTGGAAGGGTGCCCCACTCACTGGCCTTTAAAAAATGCAGCCAGGGATGGCACTCTGTTACATGCCCCTGGTGGCACAGAGGCATGTCATGGGATGGCCCAAGGTTTTCTAGCTATAATCCCAGCCCAAAAACCAGTTCCTAATTCAAGCCCAAATACTTAGTAAAGTGGCTGGAGGGGGGTTGTCAGTTGACAGCCTGGCATGACTAAACTGTGCTTTGGGCCAGGCAGGACTGTGGTCAGAGTTCTTTGGGACAGTCCCCCAGTGGCAGCAACAGGAAGTCTGTGGTAGCCCAGGAAGTATTTTGCCCCATAATCCCATCCTAATTTGACCTTCATTTAGGACTCTGTACTTGATGTGGGATATTATTTTACATAGTAATTAGTAAACATGCATAGTTAATGAATTACACATCCTAAAGACAGAGAATTTCATTAACAACAAGCTTTTATTGGAAGAGGAACTGGGAATAAGGAACTAGGAATAAGCAACCAACTTCAGCCTCATGAAGTTGTGGAATCTACATCCTTGGAACCGTTTAATAAGGGGTTATACAATTATTTGTCTGCAATGGCTTGAGCAGGGCAGTTAACTAGACGAACCTCCTGAGGTCCCTTCCAGCCCTACTTCTCTATGATTATGAGCTATGCATTGACTCAGTGCCAAGGGTGACCTTAATGGTGCAATAGCAGGTACCCCCTGTAGAAGGGGATCTCTACCTCTGCTTCTTGGAGGAAGGTTACAGTAGGCAGGCTGGGGAAGGGAAGCTCATAGTGAAAGAGGCTACATAGTGCAGACTGATTTAAGTAGAAACAACTTGGGAAGGGCCCAGCCTGCAGGCAAGGGGGGCTGCTGATTGGAGATAAGTAGCAGCACCTGTGCCCTGTTATCTGCAGGGCTAGGTCAGATGATGGGTGGGGGAGGGGAAAGGGGCCATATAGTCCTGAGCCTGGGACTAGATGCTCAGACTGGTTTTGACACTGCAAGAAAAAGGAGTTCTGCCAGCCTCCTCAGGGAGCTAAGGGGGTTTTATGCTATAGTAGGTTTCTTTTAGTGTAATGTTTGTATTTTATGTTTAAGGCACTAGAGGACAGGGTTGTGGCTACAGAGGGAGGCTTGCAGGCCACTGCTTGTTTACCATGAAAAGCTGTGATGTATATTAGGGAACCATACAGGGGTGCCTTTGACCAAACTCCTAGCTTCAGTGGAGGCTGCTAACTTGATGGATCCCCGTACTAAAAACCTCAGATGATTCTTTATTGTTTGTGTATTCCACAAGTAATTTTCAAGTTCAAGTAGATCAACCTGTAAAAACATTAAAAAAAGCTAAAGTCAAGGATTATATTCTTGGTGCTATATTTAAAAAATGTTATTATAACACATCAATAGCTAGGGAAGAGTGATTACACACTAGCAAGTTCTGTTCATCTGTGTGCCAGAAATAGCAATTAGCACCAGTCTGCAGTTCCCTGGATCCTCTCAGAAGCCCTTCTTAAAGACTGGTGTTGCATGGGTTACCTACAATATCCCATTACGGAGGCTGGTTTTTGCAATAGGCTACATATTAAAGTCAGTAGATCTGCCATTTTGAATTGGAATTCCTTCAGGACTTTTGTTTGAATATCATGGGATGGTAATCATTTCACAATTTAGTTTATCAATTTTCTTTATAACTTCCTTAACTGACACCTCAATTTTGAGTCTGTTTTATAGACTGGTCCCCTGGAATGAGTGGCTCTAGTATGGGAATCTCTGAAGCTAAGGCCTGAAGCAAAGAACTTCTTTAATTTCTTGCAGTGGCCTTATTCTCAAGTATTTCTTTTGCTCCCTGACTGTCCAACTGCCCCATTGAGTCCCTACTAGGCTCCCTGCTTAGAAAATACTTTTATAAAGGTTTTATCATATTTGATGTCTCTAGTAAGTTGCTCCACAAATTGTTTTCGCTTGCTTTATTATGGTTTTATATTGGCTTGAGAGAGGTAGTTAGCCATGTTAATTTGCATTTTAGGGTGCATCCAGATGAGCATGGACATGCAGTATGTGGCGCCACAGATCCATCTGTGGCACCATAAACAGCAAATGCAGGCATTCTGTTTGTGGGGGAGGGGAGGGTTGACCCTGAGAGATTGTGGGGTCAAAAAAAACCACCAAAAAAAAGTGGGGTGGCGCATGTACCAGTAGCGTGCACCACCCAAAACTGGAGCCTGGCTGGTATGAGTCACACTTCTGCAGCAGGAAGCCTGGCCAGCAGCTGGAGTGTTGCAGCTGCAGCTCCGAGAGACCCCCAGCACCCCAAGCAAGGCTGCTGGGGCTAGCACAGTTGCTGGCCCTAGCCTCCCCTACCCCACCCAGGGTAACCTGGAATTTAGGATGGAGTTAGTTGCTGAAGTACATCTATGGGTGCTTCTGCATAGATGTGTACCTACATGTTGCTGTCTAGGTATCATTGCCTAAATCCAGTACTGGAATTGCATGTAATGAGATTTCAGGATGCTGGCACCAGGTCAACTGGAATCGCCCTTTAGGACCGCAGTTCTCAATCTTGGTATACTTGAGGCACCTCTCAGAAAATCCCAAATCTTAGTTTTCATTTTTTTTTTTTTTTTAATAACTAGAGAAAAATAATAAAGCAATTCTTCTATTGCAAAGAATTCAGAAACACCACAACAGATCAAACTTTTTAACACTATTGATTCCTATCTGAAATGTTTGGATGTCTCTTATGAATCATGTTTGTATACCTAACTAACAGTGCTAACACTGCATGACATCCCACAAAACTACTGAAAGAATCTCAAGGCGCCCCAGTTGAGGATCACTGCTTTAGGATTTAAGCATCCAGGATGCTGACAGAGATGGAAAAACAAAACAAAACTGCACACTACCAGAAGCAGAAGTGAGTTACTTCAAGCTGGCTCTGCAGCATCTGTATAGATCGGGCACTTTAGTAGGGCATTTTGGCACTTTCAGCTAAAACAGATTCAATCAGCTACTGCATAAGTGCCAAAAAAGCACTATTTCCTGTCTAGGTCCCACTTGAGTATCCACTGAAACTATTTTGAATCTAGCCACTATTTTCAATACCAGGCAGCCTAGGAAAAAACTCCTAAGTCTTTTTATTTTCTCTTACCTTTAGTCCCTTCTCACTAACCATCCTTTGCCATCTTTCATTTTCACTTAGTAATACTGTCAGATTTGGGGAAAGACAATTCAACTTTTTCAGTCCTGCTCAGTAACTTCCTCTGTGTCCACCAGTCTCTTGGGCAGCTGCTAACAACTTAATCATTTTCTTTTTCTGGGAAGCATTTTTGATGGCACGTTTTTACTGCTTTCTAGTTTCCAACCTTACAAAACAGCTGCGTCACTTCAGATTAGAGTCTTTACGTATATCATTGTCTTGCAATTGCCACCTCAAGTGTTTAGTCAAATGCTGTTTATCTGGGAAGCCATTGTGTTGCCTTCCTGGGTTTTTTTTATTTCCCGCAATCCTCTATTAATGTAACAACTTCCCCTCACCAGGCTCCATACGGTATTTCTGATGTATAACATAGCAGCTCCTTTATCAGAACAGACAGTGCAGGAGTGCCTGTCCACCTACAGCCTTGCATGCCCTGGGTGTTGCAAATTAATTATACAAATCTTCACCCAATAGAGCCCATGAGATAATGAAGTATGGACAGAACTTCTGTGCTCCCAAAGGGTCCTCCAGCCTCCACAGGACAGATTAAATGAGGCCTGCAGGGCAGGTCTTAACTGCCTCTTGAAGTTAAGCGATCTCCAGTCTTTGACAGGTATTAACTCTCAATCAGTCCGCAAAGCCATCTTCTAATTTCTGCCAGTCCCTCCACATGGGCTAAGGGTTGGGTTCAGGTCTCCATTTAGTCCCAGATTTTCTGGTGAGGGGGGCAACGGAACAACTCCTTACCCTACAAGACTTGCAGCATCTGTGATGGCTCCGAAGTTCCTTTGCTTGCTGTATGTTAAGAAGGGAGCAGTGGTTCCTTCCTCTGCCTGGCTCAACGTTAATTTACGCATGCCTAATAACTTCAATAAGTCATAAAATTATGTACGACTTCAACAAAATAACAGATTTTGCCTTGATCTCCTGGTGCAACAAGTCTAATTTTTTTCTAATTGAGTATAAACGTTTGGGATTTTTTTTTTTACTTTACATCTTTGCTTTTATAAGTTAAGATAAAAAAGAACAGCTCATACATTTCCTTCTGCTACTGCCAAATACTGTTAATGCGTTTGACCTGA